AGATGTGTATAGTTTGTTTAATAATACTACTACTAATAGTAATAATAATAATAACAATGATGATGTTGACGAGAGTAATAATTGATATTAATATTAATAACAATAAAAAGTGAAGAAAATTGTGCTAAATGCGAAAAAAGAAATATGGGGATTCGCCCCCTTGACCCCGCCGGGGAATACGTAATTCGCATAACAGCTCCCCCCTTTCAAAATCCTGGCTACGTCCCTGGTTGATAGCTTTTGATCTTTCAAATAAGTAATTACTAAGTTATTTTGACGGTTGATTTTACCATTATATTTTACCATTGACAGTATATCTTAAGAAAAGTTGATTATTGAGCAACTGAGCGAGTAGGTGTGAAAGCTTATACAATCGTGTAATGATATGTGACATCTCAAACTGCCCTAGACTAATGTTTTGTGATAGTTACTCTCAAGTCAAAGGAAAACCTGGGAAAGTACAGGCAGTACGTGTGCAAGTAGATTAACCTGGCCTTGGAAAGGTTCTGAAAAAGTAAAGTGGAAAGGTTATTTAAAAAAAAAACACATAAGTCAGTGAATCAAACCAAATTCAATCATTTCAATTGTGTAGGAAAAGTTCATCAATTACAAAAGACACAAATATGACCAACCATGGTCAAACCAAGCCTTGTCTGAATTGATTGACCTTGCCAACTTGAACAATAAATTCCACTACTTAAATTCATACATTTTATTTGAATTATTGGCTTTTAATATGAACTGTGAACTCAGAAAAATACTTCTTTGTCAATTAACCATCTGACACATAAATAATACTATAAATAAAACCACAGGTAACACCTTTCTTGACTAACATAACCTTTAGTTAGCTCTGAACTGAAGTACCTTTTTTGTTTGGTTAATTTTTGTTTTATCTGTCATTAGAGCCACCGTGGAGATATTTATTTAACTTTAGTCCCCATTTACATGTTTTGCTGTTGCTCCTCTTGGGTATCAGCTAGAGGGTTGAATCTTGGCAATTTATACCTCCATGGTTGATGTAAATGAAAATTTCTATAACACACCATTGATTTTAGACATTTATGCCCTCTCTACTATATGGCCAGTGTGTATGTCAAAGAATGCAATTACACACTTGGGGGGAAAAATGTAAGTGATTGTCTTGCTGTGTACTACATAATTTTACTACCAGAACGACCCCACTGGAAAAGTCTTAAGTGTATTTCACATCGAATACATGCAATTCCAAATCCATGCGGGCAAAATCTAAGGAGTCTTCTAATTTTTTCCCCTTTCAATCATCAAAAACTGACTTTTTTTAGCTAATGGATGTGATTATTGTAATTTTAAAAGTTTATTATTTTAATATTTGAGGGTTTTCTTGATTTTTAATTTATGCATGAAAGTTAAAATATCTCAATGGAATGATTGAGGGCATTCTTATTGCCACGGAATAAATGGTATCTTTACAACAATCAGTCCAAGACATCTATAACTTATTGTATAACAAAGTCTGGTACAATAATTAAATATTCCCATTTTCAACTTTCAGATTTTGCTACAATGGTAGTTTAGTTGATGACCACTTGCTGTCATCCTATCTTTCCACCAATTCCAGTCACTTAATATTGCTTAATTGTACCTTATATGAAGCCTGGTTTACATGTAATGACTACACGCTATTGTCGGCAGCTGTAGATGATGCTAATTGTTCCGACACAGCTGTGCAGTATAATTATTGTATTTAAATGCACTTAAGCATCAGGGTAGCAATTTTATGGAAACCAGACTTAATGGACCTTTCCAGGGCGTCAGTTAAAATTAATAGGTAACCAATCAGAACAGCAACAATATCCAAGGGGTGGAGCTTTTTCAAATAGTACTTTATATACAATTAGGAACCAGTATCAGTTGCTGTCACTAACTTTGCCATTTTCATTTTAGCATTATCACGATCACTTTACCATCATTTTCCAAAAACCGAAAGGTCCACCGATTAATCTCAGATAAGATAGTATAATACATACTCCATGTATCGAAATGCACACCATCGTGTCGGGATTCAATATTTCGACATTAATTATGTCATCATTCCTGATGATGACATAATTAATGTTGAAATATTGAATCCCAGCATGATGGCATGCATTTAGGTACTTGGAGTATGTATTATACTATCTTACCATCATTGTTAATAGTATCTATGGTTAATTTGTTATCAGTTTCATTATTACTGATGTATTGTTTATATAAACACAAAATTACAGTGCTCTTTATTGTAATAACATATGTTTATTTATAAGTGATCCTTGTTTATTACTAATCCTCAGTATTAATACAGTATTGCAATTTAAAGCAGTGACGGATCCAGAGGGGGTTCAGGGTGTTCGGACGAAAACCCCCAACTGTGAAGTAACAAAATACTACTGGGTCTTGGCTTACAAAGGCATACTGCAGGGGAGGATTTAGAGGCCCCCCCCCCCCCCCTTTTTGGGAGGTTAAAAAAAGGGGAAAAAAAGAAAGAAAAAGAAAAAAATGATAGTCCACAACACCTCAAATGTTATTTTCGGGCATGTACAAACATACTTTTTTGAAATTTTATCTAGTCATATATCATCAAAATGATGGTTCTAATAAATTGGCGGGAAAATATTAGGGGGCGAGTATACTCGTCGATGGCACTGTGATAGAACTTTTTACTGACTATGCCATGTGCGAGTTATCTCGTCCTCTTTTTGCATGGGTTGGTATATGTTCAAAAGGCGCCCCCACTTGTACCGCTCGAGTGTACTACCGGCAACATAACACAACAAACATACATATGTCATTTGTACGTTATCGTCTAGGTGTATCTTCCCCGAACTACCAGCCGTTGAGTCTGTGGTCCTACATTGTATAATAAAGAAGTTATAAATGCTAGAATTTTCCCCCGTTTTTGACGAGTATACTCGTTCCTTGCGCCCTCAGCAACACCCTGTGGGCGAGTATACTCGTCGCTGGCAGCCAACGTGTTAAAGAAGGGGAAAACCTTGAATTTTGAAGAAATTAAAGATCAGTCATTGAAAGACACAGTCAGAAGGCGAGAAAGCTCATTTCCGGCCATCTAGGAATCAAAATTTTCCCGGAGAAGGACTTGGACCCCCCAACTCATTTTGGGGTTTTTGGAAACATTTTGAACCCCCCTTTTTTAAACTCCTTGATCCTCGTCTGTAAATTATTGTAGGAAAATTAATTTCATTATCATGTTTTGTATTGATTTTTATTAAAATTATAAATTAAAATATATTATTATATCATTTATTATAACTATATTATAATATAGTTATTATCACTACTGCTGATTGGTTAATATTATTTATTACATTACATTTTTTTAAATCATAGTATATATATTTATTATTTTTCATTTTGTTATTAATTATTAAATATATTATAATATGTTTTTTATTTATAATTCATAGAACATGTTCATCTATATTTGGTATTAAATTTAGGCATTTTTTGGATAATTAAAAAGCATACGTCATTTTGTATAAGCATAAACATTCTTATTCTAGGATGACTTCAGAGATTTACCTGCTTTCCAAGAGGGCATAGTTCTATTAACAAAATCCTTACACCATGTATGTGGTACAAGGCGACAAGAAAATATGGCTGCTTACCAACATGAGGTAACATTAGATAATTAATAAATAGAATTAGGAACTGAAATTGATTTTAAAGGATAAATCTAAATCCATCTTCCTGTATATTCAGTAATCATTTTATGTCTTAAAGTGAGTTCCATTTTGAGATTTTAAATTTGATTTTGGTTTTTGTAAATGTATATTTTACATGCAAATTTCTTGTAATTATAGGTATGTTACACCAGTGAAATTTTTTCCTTCTAGGTTGGTGTCCCCCTCGATATGGCCAAGAGAATAGCGCTGTTGTCAGCTGACCGGTATGACACAGTATTTAGCATAACACTTTATGTAAGTTATTTTCTGTCTTTATAATTGTTATCTGTAGCTTAAACATTTTCCATGTTTAATAAAACTGATTAAACAGATTGAAATAATGAAGTTGATATGTTGCTATTGGATAACATGTTTGCTTAATACTGTAGCAGTTGGCATAATGGTTGATGATTCGGCTCTCAACCTTGAGGTCAGGATTTCAAATCTCTTGCTGTGCACATAACTTTTACAAGGACACAAGTTATGTGAACATAAATTTTACAAGGACACAGGTTATGTGCACATAACTTGTGTCCTCGTAAAAGCTGCTATACAAGGCAAGTCTTAGGGCCAAGGGACTCCGCAAACTGCAGCCACAATAATTTACCGGTGCTGGTTTGAGCGGTAGACTTGCCTTGGATAAGAAGTATATACTGTAGGCCCAGTGGTGTGTCTAAGAGTCTTGGAATTGGGGTGGGGGCTGATGGGGAGCGCAAAGGTCATTTAGGAGGTCACTAATTAAGGTAATTATAGGTGATTTTTAATTACATGTGCGTGATTTATGTCTGTCTCTTATACACATCTAGATGTGTATAATAGACAGGTATTAATTGGGGGGGGGGCGTTCCTTGTACCCCTAGATATGCCCTGTGGTGGCGCTAGCGGACAGCAGGTGAGCATTTTCCCCTCCGTCGGACAGGCCTAGACCCCTCCTTTAAAAAAATAATAATTTGCCTGTCCAAATGATGTTATAATTGTGGTTTACAAGCACATTTGGAACCTAGTAAGCTCCCCTTGAACCCTACCAGGGATTTGTTATTCCAGGCCGTCGACCGAGGCTTCGTCGGTCCCTTAGTTCGGCCCACTCCGTCGGCAATGGCGGACCTCTTGTTGGCAATTTCCTGGCACCACTGCTGGGTACGCCACTGCGTAGGCCCAGTGTACACAGTCAGCTCATGTCCACTATAAAGAACCCAGTACAACTTTCAAGTGAATTATGCAGTTACATCAGTGTACTACAGTATTCCAATTACTGTGGTAGACAGACAAGATTAGCTGGCACCGATTAACTAGGTCACGCCACAAAGGGATCCTTACAAGGGACGGAAGTTACTGTGCTAGCTATTATTATTATTATTATTTGGTCCATGTTTCAAGCCCTTTGAGACTTAGGTGTATTGCGCTACCTAACTACATTACATTCATTACTTATGTTTGCATCTCTCTAGAGACCCAAGATTTTGTGGCACTGAATGTATTTGCTTTGTGTAATGTGTACTACCTCATGACCTGTCTCTTATTCACTTCTCAATGGGTCCGGGGCCATTTTTTCCGGGGCCATTCTTACCGTACACCCTCTCTAGAGACCCAAGATTTTGTGGCACTGAATGTATTTGCTTTGCGTAATGTGTACTACCTCATGACTAATTAAAGGTCTACTACTTAGGGTGCAGAGAAGTTTGTACTTTGTGCTGGTTTGCCCATGTAGTGACTAACCAGGGGTAATAACGCTCTTCTGCCTTTGATTTAGTTTAAAATTGGCACTATAGAATTTTGAGCTACGTTATTATCATATCATCTAGTCTATAGGAAGAAGTTTATTTGTAGTGACCAATCACAGTAGCTCGGTTGGTAAAGCCATTTGCAACAGTAATCAGTGCATTTTGGGTTTGAAATCTATCCATCCAGGTCTGTATTGTGTTGGCCTACCTGGTGCAAAAAGAATGTCGCATGCATAAAACGAGCTAAGGTGAGAGCTGCCTGGGGCATCGGTGGGGTTAAAAGACTGACAACTGGCCTAAGGACAAAGTCACAGGAAGGTCTAGTGTGTTTTTTAAGGGGCTTATTTATTTAATTACTAAAGCTCTTGATCTATACAAATGGTATAACTTTATAAATTGGTGTTCCTTCCTGATTGAATTTGAATTCTTACGGCCTGTCCACATTTGCGTGGATACAAGCCTGTCTATAATTATTTTAAACATTTTGTCTAGCTACCAAATTGCACTTTCATCACTTGATAAAGAGTTCCTGGCCAGATTCACTCAAAGTTCCTTGGAGCCGAATCTTTTAGTACTGTATCTGCTCCGACATAATTATAAATTATCGTGCAAATTTGTTGAGATAGATTAGCTAAACATTGACATTTATTTCCCCAGCTGTCTGTCAGTTACTGTTTACAAAATTCTCTCATTCAGTAAATGTACCGGTAAGAGTGGAGATACTGTATATCTTGCAATCCAGGGTGTGGGTGGGTAGGGGTTGCGATGGGTGCGTATGCACCCCTATTAAATAGAAATGTTCAGATTTTAAAAAGCCAGGGTCTAGAGTAAAACAAGTTGTTTTTGATATCTTGCACAAATGATTTTTCTTCGACACAAGAAGGCATTGTTTGTGATGAAAAACTCGGGAACGGTTAATGAGATACAGATGTTTAAATAAATATTTTTAAAATGGGGAAAAGGGGGCGTAGTGACAGGGCTACATCTTGGCAATTGTGGACAGATCATAAGAATTCAAATTAAATCAGGAACATATCAAAATTGATTTTCCTCTGAAGCCTGGCTTTAAGACATACAAGAATATACTGAATGTAAAATTTGTTATTGTCTGTAATGAAGAATTAATGGGAGTCGTAAATGGTTGAATTTATGGGGAGAAATGTAAGGAAATTGTGTATGCATACTTTGGAACCCTCTGGAGACTATACAATTACATGAGTCAATACTTTGTCATATAACAAAAAAAGTTAACTGTTTAAAGTGGCTTGGAGATGATTTGATAAGTTAGGACTAGTAACAAAAAATCCTTGTTTCCTGTCCTGGGTTTTTCAAAAAGTTGGTGAGGGAGACACTTATTATTTGATATTTGATATTTTTCACAGTTCGTCAAAATATGCCAAAGAATAGCAAAATGTGTTGTAAACAATTTGTCAATAGTTTTGTCATTGCTTTTCTTGCTTTTATCATGTTCTTTGGGTTTAAAAATGCATTTGTAAACTATAAAAATGTGTCAGCAATTGAATTTTTGCATTTTCGATGTAAAAAAACCCTAAAATTTTGAAAATAACAAAAAACAAAAAAAATTGATGCAGGCCTAAAAAATTGTGAGGGAGGGGACAGGAAACAAGGATATTTGGTTATTTGGCCTTATTCCTACTAACGGTACATTTAGATAGTCAGCAAATAGAATATGTAAATGGTAGCTTTCTGCTACCATCTGCTAAATTAGTGGTTTTACAGATCAGGATGTTTAAATTTTACCATGTTCATAAAAGGATGAATATGAGGCACAATTAGAGGTGTTTGAAACTTTGCAAAAAGAGATCTATGCATCACATTCAGTTAAAATGGAGAGATCCGCATTTCAACATTTTTCCATACGCATCAATGTATAAAAACAGGTTAAAAATGAACTATGATCTTGAATTTCGTAGAAAGTCTCTTTGAAAGCGTATTCAACAATTTCAAGAGGTCTTATTTTTAAAATTTATTTCATTTGTTCCAGCCATTGTCTATTGTCTGAAACCCCAACAGTTGGAATTAAGTTGTTTTCCAACATATTATAATGAGTTACTTCCTAGTAAGCCCATAAAAGTTATATGCTTATAAATCATTCATGAATTTCCTCTGATTCAGATGAAATTCTTTCCACATCTCCATTTTCTTATATTGTTTTTCCATTAAAAATGTCACTCATATTGTGTGAAATCACAATAGGCGATATGTATTCCGTGATTGGCATTTCCCCTTAGCCATTCCATGACAATTTCCCTTCCCCTCACTTGCACATGCTCACTATTCCTGAATAACACTTCCACCCCCCCCCCAATGATACTTCAGTCGTCAATAACAACCTCAGTTACCCTTATGACCTATCCTTAATAACCTTATGCTCATATTGCTTTTAATTGCCCAAAAACATGGAAATTACATTACTATATGAAAAAAAAATATGTAAAAATAATATAACAAATCATCAGTAACACCCAGCACATTTAATGCTCTCCCTTGTGATATGGTACTAGCAGTATTCTCACCAGTGACATGTTCTCGCCCTCCTATTTGACTATTGACACTATTCCCCTCCCCTCAGTAATTCCCTTTTCAGTTAGCTAGTCATACCCTTATCCCTGTCTCTTATACCCCCCCCCCCACTATTAAGTATTAACCAGCTCTCGTATTTTTGGCAGGAGAAATTACTGTGTGTCCGTTTTAAATTTGTTCTGTTTTTTCCATGATTATTAGGGCCTTGACATTTTTTAAAGCCTTCAACAACGTTCTGCAGAATTGAGATAAATGCTATGTAAAAAATTACATGATTATCCTTCAATAGTTATGACTTTTATTCAAGATGCAGTAGAAGATTTCTTTGTTCAGATATCATGTAAAAGAGAGTTAGTTTAAGATACATTGTACAGCAGAAATCAATATCAGACAGTCAACTGAATCTGAAACAGTCAATAAGGCCAATAAAAAAAAATTCATGTGTTGGCCACATTTTGGAAAAATCCAAAAAAATGGGTAGGTCAATAAGAAAAGTTTTTTTTTAAATTTTTTTTTTACCAAAAAATTGTTTATGCCTAAAAAGTAGAAAATACAAAAAAAATAACAAAGACCATTTTTAAATATATATTGAAGAGCAAAACAATCGCATAACACTATCACATTGCCTACCGTCGCAAGATAGGCCTTTACCAGCCTACGGTAAAGTATTACTGATATTAACAAAAAGACGACGCTTATTATAAGTATCACATTCAAGCAATTGCAAATAGGTAATTTACGGAAAACCAGGCTTTACCTACAACCTACCAGTGGCTGAATGTCTCTAAAGTTAGCCACATTTTTATTATACTTGTTCCAAACAATATATTGAAAATTAATAAATTTCGCTTAAGTTACTAAGATTCAAGTTACTTGCCAATTATTGATGCATTAATCTTCCCTATGGTTTAATCTTTTACATTGACATTTAAAGAGTGAATGAAGCAGCTTTGAGTAGGATACAGCTTGAATGGGCCTATGTTGACCCTGCATGACAACATACAAAGCTTTAATGATGTAAGGAAGACACCAGATGTTCATACAATGCATAGCTAATGATCGTTGCAAATGGTGAGAATGGTGAACACATGCAATGTTGCAAGATGAGTAGTGTTTTGGTGTAAACGATTTGTAAATTACATTACAGTACATTTAAAATGTACATATAATCCATAAAACGTAATTAACTCTACATTTTTCAATTCAGAGTAATAAAGTGATTATGCAAGTACAGGTAAAAGTTACTTACAATCATGAATTTGTTATATTTCATTTCATTTATTTTTTCATTAGAAAAACATACAATAAGGACACGAAAAATACAGACAAATAGACAGTAAGAATCGCAATTGTTAAAAAGCCGGTGGGATAACCAAAAAGCGAAACAAATCACTGTCGAGTGGTTCTCCAAGTTTAAAATCAATACATGAAAACTCTTTAAATATACATAAATATAGAACATAAGTTAAAGCTATATATCTAAATTCAGTATGTACAATGAAAGAAAACAATAAAACATTTAAAAAGTACATGTAGTACATTATTAATATAAATGTTTTTGTTAAAGTAAAGTAAAAGATTAGCCAGATAAACAGTTTGGCGAAGAATATTATTTTGATAAAATATTTGTAGCTAGATGTGCTCAACTGTGGCCCTTCATACGTCTATGATCAAAGGTGTGGATATAAACATTTGCACCATTGGTCTTGGCGAAGGTCAGGTTGAGATAAAGTAATGAAAAAGTAGAAAGTTACGGCAGCGCCTGGTGTTGTACTACTACTCGGATGAATATGGTGCAAGTAAAATCTTTGAACATGGATTTGAGAAAGACGATGCAGGTAAAAGTATTTTATGAATAATTAATTTAAAATTAAATCTTGTATTCCGACAAATTACTATATATTTATTCGTGGGAGAAGATAGTTGACGACATAAAAAAATACCTTCCCACAAAACAAGTCATGCAAAAACTACATTGTTTCACTCAAACATACACTGTTCAATTGTTTCACAGCACAATGCACTATCAAATGCCTTTATATATTATGTACATTTGGTTTGACATTGTTTCAGTTTTTCTGTATCGTTGGAGAAGTAAATATTTTTTGCTTACACTAGCCCAACATCATGAATACATTTCAGAAGCCATATCTTCGTATCCTTTGAATTCAATCTTATTTCATTGTCATTTTCTTCAAAAAATATTTTTTGAAAGCAATTGAAATGATAGCATGAATGTTTATGGTTACACCTGCTTTGTCAAAAGCCATCCAATGCTACCTGTGCTTGTAAATTACTCATTCAGCTTGGAAGTGTAAGAGTAAATCATTTAATAGTCTGCTGGTACTTCAGAAAGACACATCATTATCAATTTTTTTTTGTCAGATTGAAGCTCAGGATCTGCTCCTGGCTAAGTGGATCCTTTCCATAGACACACCTACAATAGGCAGCGTGGGATCTGGATCCCCACCTGGATTAAAATTTTATATCCGTATCTACATCTGCCATTCTTCATAACTATGGACAGTTACTTTGGAACCAACTACTGTACCTGAGACTGTGCGTGACTCTCCATCTTTGACTGTTTTCAAGTCTTCTATCAAATCCCATCTTTCTCTTTATATTAATTTTGAACTTTATTCCTTTTCTTTTTGTTTTATATTCTTCCTTTTTTTGTGCACTTGCACTATGGTTTCTCAGCACAATATTGCAATATGTGCTTTAAAGTATATTACCATTAAATTTCTAGTTTGGATACCTCTTTTTCTATAATAAAATTCACTTTACTGCACACTCCTGATGGAGTTTATCACTTTTCCTAAGCCTGTTAGTATCTGGAAAGCCAGCCTCCTGATTATATTCTGCATGGAATAATCTCTCAGGATTTGACATGGATTCCAAGTAAACTTAGATCACATCCATTCTAAGGATGCTTATATTTTCAACAGTCATGTGGATGAATGTTGGCTCTGAATGAATTATGGAAAATGTGTATTGTGGGGGGGGGGCAAGCTTTCTATATTGTGTGTTGCAGTTCATGGAAATTATCTTAGATAGATTTCGCCTTAAACTAATAGTCATAAGGTGTATCTATTCATCTTTTTCAAGAAACAAAAATTGATTAAATAACACTATTTTCAGGCATTTCAGCCGTAAAAATTTTAACATTCTGCATCCTTCTGATATTTGATCTCTTGTGTTGAATGTATGTTTTTATCAATATGACATCAGTATATACCGTACGCCAACCTCATCATGAGGTCTAGGGCCGAATAAATGCAGACATATCTAACTACTTCTAAATTTATCAGATATTTAATATACAACATAATATGTACTGTAGGCCTAATGTTAGTTGTCACTGTCATCATTAATCATATTTCCCTCTGGAATGTCGTCTCATATTGTAACAGCTGTGTTTTTATCAGCCACAATTTCTGACAGAAATTTACTTATTATAGTCAATTTATATACTGCAAACATGTAAATTTGTAATTAAGTAGATGATGAGGGGAACATTTGTCTTGACTGATTCATTTAGCCCTGAATCAGGGTCTGATGTAATCAGCTGCCAAGATGGCCAATCATAGATCGCCTTAAAATAATAGTAAAGTGTATCTATTAATTTTTTTAAAGATTAATAAAAAAAATACAATTTTCAGCGCATTTAAAATGCATTTTCGACTCTAGCCTCAAATATTATATTCTGCATCCTTCGGATATTTGATGATTAGTGTCTTGCGTGTGTTTTTATCAATATGACATCAGTATGTACAGCAAGCCAAGCTCATCATCAGGTGGTAGGCAAAAAAAAGACATTTTGGCTGATCATAGATAGCCCTGCATCTCATTAATTTACATCTACCTTGATATAATCAACATATTATATTGTATTGTTATCTATATTTTGTATTGTATTTTCTCTTCAGATTAAAGAGATTTGTTTATTGAATCTAGACGAAGGCAAAGCTGCAAATTGGCCTTTGTATCTGAAAATCAATATTATTGAACGATTTATCAAGAACGATGCAGAAATTCAGAAGCTAATACGGGAACGACAAGGCCTTTACTCGATGGTGGTGGGCTTTATGCAGTGGATAAGGTGGTGCCTGGATTTTTTATACGCCCCATATTTGTTTGCTTGACTAGTATGAAATTCGTAAAACAACTTATAATATAATATAATATATAATATAGTGTTAATTTGATGCACTATCTTTTGTTTATATTTACGTTGTACATGTTTTGTTTCATAAACTTATACTTTTGAAATTCTTTATTATATAATATTATATACAAATATATGCCTACTTTTTCCAGCTGATGATACAGATAATAATCCTTAATAATAAGTAATGGTGATGATAAAAATTAGTGCAATTTGTTTAAGAATTAATATGGTTTTAATCCCTACATTCACGTACATTCAACATTGTATTCTAATTCTGTTTGTCAAAGAGAAATGCTATGCTCTTTCCTCATAACATTGTTCACATGAATGATCCGATATCATTTTGGGAATGTTTTTTTCATTGGTTTTTGAATAGTGAATCACTTGTAGTTCCTGACAGTGATTTGTTCTTATATGTGATACATCCATGTGGTATTATTTGAAAAACTAAATTATTTATTTTTGCAAAATATTTCATTTATATTGTATTTTATTTTATGCAGGTATAAAACATGTTACAAAAGGCAGAACAAGTCTGCATTTCAAGCATTTACAGGAAACATTTAAGTATGGTAGGGAAAATCAATACAGAAATTTACCTAACAAAATTGCACACAGAAAAAAACAAAACATTTAGTATTTACACATAGAATAAATATTAAAATTTGTGCTATCACTTTTAAATTTCAAATATCAAATTGCAATTATCATATTTTTTTATATACGTTAATTCATTAGGAAGTGTTCATATTATTAATATACTGATTTAATGCCTTGATTTCTCCAGGGCAAGGTTGTCTGTTTCACATATCAACTTTCCTAATAATAATAACAACATTACACAATTATAACAATTTGTTGTATTTTTTTTTTTTTTTTTTTTTTTTTACAGAC